GTGGGCGCTGCCATTTGAATGTTTTTGTCTCGCGACTTCCGGTCACATTCACTTCCATTCATTTTTTGACATTAAAAACTGCTCGTCACGCTGCTTGATGTTGCAATTTGATATTTTCTTATTATATTATTCTACTTGGTCTGTATAGTCATGCAAACATTTGCAGAGTTTGTAGTTGTTTGTAGTTTGACCATTTACTGCCGTTTATCATTCCTAGTCTTTCTCCCATAGGCGACTGAATCTGAAGTTCTAAGACAGTCGCGAAAACAAGCCCACTTCCGCATTTTAGAATAAGGTCAATATATGGGTGAATAATTTTAGCTTTGACTATATGTAACTCATAAAATATGTTTAAAAATGGCTCTTTTAATACGTTTAGGATAGCTTCAAATAAAACGAAGAGACTTCGAAATTTACGACACACAATAGACGTAAATGATATGATCAGGCCTTTGAATTTAAGTTAAATAAAACTACAAAAACGTTTATTTAATAAAGTTGTGTTGGACCAACTCAATTGTGTATAATAGTGTATATAGTTTTTTAGCTGGTGCTTAACAAATTCATTGGATGGAAATCCTGCCCTCAATTAAATTAAGTTTATCCAATGATATATTGTTATGAGTGTAGGAATGGCTACAGATAAACACAACTTCAGCTTAGTCCCTTACTCATCAGGGGTCACCACAGCAGAATGAACCACCAACTTATACTGCATATGTTTTATGCAGCAAATGCCCTTCCAGCTGCAACCCAGTGCAGGGAAACATCCATACACACTCATCCACACACATACAGACAATTCAGTTCATCCAATTCACCTATAGTGCATGTGTTTGGACTGGAAACTGGAGAACCCAGAGGAAACCCACACGAACGCAGGGAGAACATGCAAACTCCACAAAGAAATGCCAACTGACCCAGCTGAGGCTTGAACCAGTGACCTTCTTGCTGTGAGGTGACAGTGCTAACCACTAAGCCACCATGTCGCCCCTGTTTTATGTTCAATCCACTTAAATTTGTAGAAAAACTAATAGGTTAACTTAATTCCTTCATGTCGTCCTAACACAAATGGATTGTGTGGAATCCAGCATCTGTTACAGTGTGTATTGCTCTTTTATTAGTCACTCAGTTGCATTCAACACAATGAAACAGCATCTCTCAGATCAACCAAAGTCATTTAATCAAAGAGATACTAAAAGACGTGATGGGGAAAAAAGTCCTTTTGTATGAAAAATAAGCTCTATATTGTATAACTGCAGGTTAACTACTGTAAAAAAAAAAACATTGGGTTCTGCTCTATTCCTTTATGTTGTCCTAACACAAATCGATAAAGTTAACTTAATAGTTTTTACAAATTTAAGTGGATTGAACGTGAAACGAAAAGCTTTTGTTTTAACTCATTTTCATTCATTCATTCATTCATTTTCCATCAGATTAGTCTCTTTGCCAAAGGTCACCATAGCGGAATGATTATCCAGCATATGTTTTACGCAGTGGATGCCCTTCCAGCTGCAACCCAGTACTGGGAAACACCCATACACACTCATTCCCAAACACACATACACTACGTCAATTTTGTTTAGACAATTCCCCTATAGGGGATGTCTTTGCCCACATCAACCCACGCCAACACGGGGAGAACAAACAAACTCAACATAGAAATGCCGACTGAAGATTTGACTCGAACCGGCGACCTTCTTGCTGTGAGGTAACAGTGTTAACAACTGAGTCACCGTGCTGCCCTTTCATGTCATTAATTTTAGAAGTTATGCAAGCTTTTTTAAGTCAGTTTAATATAATAAAAGTTCAAAGGACTGTTAATATGATTCAGCTTAAAATTTAAGGCAACCAGTGCTTGTTTTACAGTGTACACATGCAGCATGTGCGCTATAATTCATTATAACAGCTTGTAAAACATTTAAGTATGTGCTTAATTGAATGAAGAACAACTCACAATTCTTAAGTTTTTGGTGGGACAAGTTAACTGTTTTATGTTCAATCCACTTAAATATGTGAAATCTAATAAGCTAACCTAATTCCTTCATGTTGTCCCTACACCAATCGATTGTGTGGAATCCAGCATATACACATACAAAAAAACGCAGGGTTCAACACAATTCATTGAGGTTGTTCAAACATAAATTAAGTAAACGTATCAAATTAAACATAAAACAATTAAGTTGTCCCCAAAAGAAAACTCAAGCTCATTTTATATAAGTCGTTTGAACAAGCGGCAAAATAGATACTAATATGTCAGATGTTCTACAGAAGAGCTGCTAAATCAGTCATCATGCAGTAATTCCTATCAGTACAGGAGTGTATAGTGATGTGGCTGATGTGCGTGTCCTGCATGGAGCTGATTCTCACCTGAAATCACAGCGCGTGTGGTCACATCTCTCTCCTGAGCTGCTGGAGCACAGACTGAACCTCCTGTTCTCATCCTCCAGCATGAGCGCAGGAAACTCCTCCTTTACCATCACCGAGTCTAGAAGAGACTCGCACACTCCAGATACACAGATACTAAATGAATTATGAATATTAGACAGAGATTTAGCCAAGAAAAGGGACATAGTATTTATTTTTCTTGAAATGTTTTAATTTAATTTTGAATGTTTTGTTTTAACAGAATTTAAAGGGGAAAGTCAACACACACACAAAAACACACCTTGTTATTTATTCTCCCTCATGTAGTTTTAAACCGTTTCTCTCTTCTGTTAAACATAAAAGAAGATATTTTGAAGAATGCATGCACTTATTGACTTTAATAGTAAAATAAATAATAATGATAATGATATGGAAGTAAAAGGGTGACTGCAACCATCATTTATCAAAATATCTTATTTTGTCTTCTACATAAGAAACTAAAATAGGTGGAGAACGAGTAAAGATGGCAGAATGCTAATTTTTGGGTGAACTATCTCTTTAAGAACATCTAGATTTCCCCTCCAACTGACCCATTAAAACATCTGAGAAAGGAATACACACAAAAACACACAAATGCATCACAACAACTGACATGAAAGAGTGTGAGACACATGTGCTATCAGATTATAAGGAGATTTAGAAACAAGGAGCAGAACTTAATGTACTGAATATATTTCTTCTGATGTGTTTGTATTTAAATGTATTCATTATTTCTAAATAGATGAACATTAATACACCCCTACATCAATAAACACACTTATAACTATCAAATAATGAGTGATGGTGTCCCAGATCGAATTCATTTATATAAAGGTGTGACAGAGACCTCTGCTGATGATATGAACGAACTACACTGGATTCACACACGCACGCAGGGGCGCAACTGCAAATTTACTGAGGGGTATGCAGATTCAAGTTCTTCAAGTCATTTATGATTACACTAAGCATGTTAAGTCACAAAGAATTTATCTTATCCCACTCAAAATTTCTTAATTTCATGTTCCTCACTAAATGATTATAGCACCTTGACGTGCCTAATTGCTTTTATGCTACATCTGTCAAAACAAAAAGATCGATATAGAAGTCCTAAAGGGAAAAACAATTTAAAAATGCAACCACTTGTCACATGCTTATAATTGACTGAAACTGCTATTAAACCTCTGACAAAGTGAAATAAAAAAGACTGTAAAATGTTTAGTGTAAAAAATAAACAGAGACAAACTGCCTGAAATGTTCTGTTTTATCAATATAGGCAAACTTTTGTTGTACTAAAATTAAGTACAACATTTTGAGCAGAAAAAAACTTGTTTATCAATATGATACATAATAAATTTACAATAAAATATGTATAAGGTATAAAAATGGGTCTTAATAAAAGGATTAACAAACATTTCAGTGAAAAAAGTGAATATTCTGACTATTTGCTCATGTGTCAGTTTTAACAGGGTGAAGAAACGTCACAATCATTATACAATTTATATAGGGGATTTTTTAAATCCAAATGTTAGTTTCTATTTTTTTCCCAGCTGCAATAGATCAATCAAATGATCAACGGAGGGGGTGGGCCACATGATATTTTTTATTTAATAAAATACAATATTATACTCCTGTAAAATTAACAAAAAATATTGATTTATTTTTATTATTAATTATAAAATATAATAATAATAATAATAATAATAATAAAATAGTTTGATATTTTTTTTAACCCCCTGACTTTTGAGATATTGTGATGATCTTAAACATTTAATGTGAAAATACTTTGGCCAAAAACTGAAAAAAGATCAACCAATTATAACCAATATAGCATTTTTTACTCAGAAATAGTACATGTATGACATATTGCTTGTGAGTTTCGATGAAATTCAAAATTAATCGAACGGATCAAAAATCGGTGACGTAGCATGAATCTGCTAGTGGAGTGAAGATGCGTTGATTTCTCATTATTATTCATAGCGGAGTTTTTTTTATCCTATGAAAAGACCCTGCTTCTTAATTATTCATGAGAGCACGTGCTTTCCGAAGCAAAGGCAGACCTGCATAGCTGTGAGACCCAATGACTGTGTGAGATCCTGCACGGCACCGGTTGTACAGTATGTGTTTGTTTCCATGATCCACGGGGTTTGCTGCATGCTTTTCCCTGCGATTCTGTCAGGGCCATTACAGCAAAGCTGTTGGCTATGTGGTTATGTGTATATGAAACTAAGAATGTAGCAGGGCATTAAAATATGTACTGTTTATTCCTTTGCATTTCAACTTTGTAAACTTTAAAATCATGGGTCTTCTCGCGGTTTGGGTCTCAATTTGTGAGCCGACTGATAACAGTTATTTGCTCCCCTCTTTTCCCCCTGCTCTGCCGACTATGCCCGCTCCTCCCTCTGCTCACAGAGCTCCACACCCATCTCCGAGCATTTTTTGAAAAAATTCTGAGGTAGACCTGAACCGAAAGTGGGGGGTGTCATGACACTTTAACACACACTTACTTTAAATACATATACGTACAATTCAACAAAACATCAAAATACCCCAATAGGACTTTCAAAAAAAAAAAAAAAAAAAAAAAAGAGGAAATATTTATTTAAAAATGATGAGTTTAATTTAAGAATTTAACATGTATTGGTCACAATATCAAAATGAGAAACAAACTATTTTTACATGGATGTGAAAACTTTTGCAGCAACATGATAACATATTTAATTTGAGGATTAAATTTCAGCCGCATGAAAATGTTAAAATAATAATGTGAAATGTTTAATTTGCGTTAAAAAGCTATTAATTTAATATAATAATGGCACCATGTTTCCATTCTTTTCCATGTTGTTTTCCAAGTCTACTGCTATAAAGTTAAAGAGAGATGTAATGATGATGTTTTATTCGGTGTAAGTAACCTGTGTGTCTTTGTTGTTACACTTTGAAGCTTTTGAATTGCACAAGAGAGACACTGAACCATCAGAGAAAACTCCAAATCCAGCATAGAGTGGTTCAGTGAATGTGGTGTTGAATGTGTGTAAGAGCTTGAGTGTGTGCGTGTCAGAGACGCTGTAGAAGGACAGAGTGCCGGCAGACCGGTCCAGATACACTCCTACTCTGTTAGAGTCAGATTTTGAATATTTATCTATATCTTTATTCGTATTTTTGTGTCTGACTATGAACTTGTTGTCAAAACAATTTAGATTCCAAGACTTTTCATTGAAGCCGAACAAACTTTCAGTTCGCAGTCCTTTCCTTCTGATTCCTCTATATGTCACTGCTACATCAGCCCTCCCGCTAAATTCAGCCTCCCAGTAGCAGCGTCCAGTCAGACTCTCTCTGGACAGGACTTGACACCACTCATCAAATCTTTCTGGGTGATCAGGATATGACTGCTTCTTCGCCACTCGCGTCACCTTTCTGTTTCCCTCAGACAGAGCGAGGTTAACGTGTGCTGTGTTTACATCCAGTGTGAGATCAAATGCATCTGAACACAAGAAAGATGATAACAATTATAACACAACAAAACAACTATTAAGATTAAGACATTGTTAATATCTATGCTCAAGAAATTCTACTGCATGACCACATAAATAAGGAGCTGAACAGCCGGACATGTACAGTAGATGTAAAATCCTCCAGCAGTTTCATACATAACAGCGCAGGGACTAACCTGCACCTCCAGGGCAATAACTGTTCATTGGGGGCTCCACAGGGTCAGTATACATGGCGGGCTGCTATAGCCAAACCTTTGGTGACTCGTGCCAATGCTAAACATCAGATTCAATGGGGCCAGCAGCGAATATCTTGGGGTGTGGACAATGTGAAACATGTTTTGTTCTCTGATGAGTCCACCCTTACTGTCTTTCACACATCCAAGTTACGGTGTAGAGAAGCCCCAAATAAGCATACCACTCAGACTAATAAATTAGTGATGGTTTGGGCTGCAATATCGTGGCATTCCCTAGGCCTAATACTTGGGCTACATCAATGGAAAGGACTACTGATCAATTCTGTAGGACCATGTGCACCCACTGGTTCAAACATTGTACTCTGAAGGTGGTGCCGTGTATCAGGATGATAATGCACCAATACACAAAGCAAGACAGAGGGGTTTGATGAACATGAAAGTAGAGTTAACATCTCCCATGGCCTGTAAAGTCACCAGACCTAAATATTATCGAGTCATTTTGGGTTGTTTTGGAGGAGTGAGTCAGGAATTTTTTTTTTCTCCACCAGCATCAAGTAATGACCTGGCCACTATTCTAGAGGAAGAATGGCTCAAAATTCCTCTGGCCACTGTGCAGGACTTGTATCTGTCATTCCAACGCAATCTCACGGCAATTCGTAACTTTTTGATTTAGTGGCTAATTTGTAAGAATTAGTCTGATCTAATTCGTACAATTTAGTATGATTTTCTCATCACCCAATGACGGTTGGAATTAGGGGTGGGGTTGAGGGCCACGCCTCCTTTTTAAAATCTTACATTTTCGTACGATTGAACTTGTACGAATTTGTATGAATTAGCCACTAAACTGCCAAATGTAAAATACTTACGTTTCCTCGTGAGATCAGGCTGGTCATTCCTGAGACAAATTGATGCTGTCTTGGCCACAAGTGTGGGCCTACACTATACTAATGAAATACTGTGGTCTAAAACTAGGTGTTTCAGTGGTATTGTGGTAATGCAGCTGTCAGAGTTCTTTCCAGGTCTAGAAAATGTGATCATATCACCACAATTTTATCCTCCTTACACTGTAGAGCTGTGAACCTACACTAGTCTCACGGTTCGGTTCGGTTACGATTATCATGCCATCGATTCGGTTCAATTCGATATTTCGGTGCATCATGGTGCATTGACGGTGCTTTTCATACACAGTTTTATATTTTCTTCACAGCAGCATTTCTTGTATTAAAATGTATGAATATATTTATATTTATATACTATTTGTAATACAATTTTTTTAAATACAAACAGTCAGATAAATAAACTGTAATTTTAAACAAAACGAGCATTTAGCAAATAATATAAACAAATATAAATATCCAGCTCAATTTCTGATCCTTGTCTAGTTCTCTTACACTCCTTTGATTGGTCACACCCTCAAAAAACGGTTGCGATTGGCTCTTGCGCACTGCGGTCTTCACAGATGAGGGACACTGATAAGTGGCAGGTGGCAGCGGCGATCACAGCTGATGTATGATTGACACGGTAGAGAAAACTCTGCAGACACGCGCTCGTTTCTGTATGCAATAGTAACGCTGTAAAACAGCCGAGAAGAGAAGAAAAGCCACGCCAGCAGGTCAAATGGGCCACTGTGTGTGTGTGAGAAAGAGAGAGAGAGACAGCGAGCGAGAGAGAGAGAGAGAGAGAGAAAGAGAGAGAGAGAAATGGAGTAGGCTACTTTCATTCTCTCGATCTCAGTGAAATAGGGGCTATTGTTGTATATGTCAGTGAAAGACTGATCCAGCAAACACACACAGTGAAATTGTGCACAGTTTATGAGTTTTAAGTAGTTAAAGCGCTGTAAATACTTGCGATCGCCTCCCTCGCGACAGAGCGCATATGAGGTAAATGACCTCAGTAATAACCGGTTATGATTATTACTGAACCGATACCGAATTGTCCGCGTCTGCATCGCAGTGCACCGAAGAAACGATTAATTTTGACACCCCTATTGCACTGGCTGCCTGTTAAGTTTCGTATTGAATTTAAAATATTGCTTCTTACCTATAAAGCTTTAAATAATCTAGCTCCTGTTTAAATAACCAACCTTCTGTCTCACTAAAATCCAACCCGCTCTTTAAGATCTCAAAACTCAGCGCTTCTGGTAGTACCTAGAATAGGAAAGTCAAGTCGAGCCTTTTCATTTATGGCTACGAAACTCTGGAATTGCCTTCCTGATAAAATCCGATGCTCAGACACACTCTCCCAGTTCAAAACTAAATTAAACACTTATCTTTTTAGTAAAGCATACACTCAGTGCATCACTTGCAATATGCATGCATAAATGCTCTCCATGCATCTCGTTTATATACAGTATGAACAGCAGCTACGCTAATTGTTCTCTTTATTCTCTATTTCCACCTGGGGATCCTCATCCCGAGGCTCCCAGAGATTATGCAGTGCCACTGATGTGATCCAAGACCTTTGAAGAGATGATTCCTAGATTTCCATAATCCTGGACCAGGCCGTATCCTGAGCAGCTGCTGTGGTGGTCATGGAGGAGTGGAGAGCATGAGACTGATTCCTGTGAGACTCCAGGGACAGACGAGTCTTCACTGAGGTCCAGCATTCTCCAGCGCCTAGACTGCATCTCTGCACAAGATGTTTGGCCATAGAAGAAATGGATGTTACCATCTGAACCTGGTTTCTCTTGACTTTTTTTTCCTTTCACTTTCGCCAATTGGTGTTTTTTTTCCTTGCTGCTGTCGCCACTGACTTGCATGGTTTGGGATCTGTAGAGCTGCGCATCCATGGATTACACTTCAGTGTTTGAACTCTCAGCAGTGAATATTAAACCACATTGAACTGAACTGAACTAATCTAAACTGAACTGAACTTATACTCTGAAAACTGGACGGACACTGTTTCAACTCACTATAATGCTTTATGTCAAGCTGCTTCGACACAATCATTGTAAAAGCGCTATTGAAATACATATATATTGTCCAACCCTTGTGGATATTCTATTTTTGTACTAATGACCTCTATCTAGAAATAATGCCCTGCAAAGGATGTTTAGACATGTTATATTTCTGCACATTGTTTGCACTGTGAAACACAAAGAGCTCTTTGAGATTTGAGTTTGGATGTTGTGTTGTTTTAATCAGTATTAGTCCCCCATTAAAATAATCATACTGTGGGTGTGTGAGGACCTACATTTCTGTGGTCCAGTTGTAATCCTGAACTCCGCTCCATGATCCACACTACAGCAACAAAAAAGCAACAACAAACTTGAATTTTACAAACAAATATTTCCCATATGTGAAATTTTAAAAAATTGTGCATCTCAATATGTGAAATATCTGTTAAAATGGGTGTTGCGTCTTGAACTACATGTGAAATCAGTCCAATGAAGTTGTCAGGGCTCTGGTCCTGCTCACACCAAGGCAAAATGAGTTAATTCATCTAACCAGACACTTAAAAAAATACAGTGTAATGGATATGTCACTACCAAAATATCAAAATATAAGATAGGGCGGTAACCATTTACAATAAAGGTACTTGAATAATGATGTGCTAATATGTAAATTAAATGTTACTTCATTATGAACTAAAGATGGCTTGAGGTGTGCGCTAATCAAGAACTTACTTTAACTACAACATGAGTCTCATGAGTACATGCATAGCTTAATTACTTGCTAGTACATGTTTGATGATTAATGTATTAATTAACACTTTCATTTTAGCTAAATGTTACCAACATGACCCCATGAGCTGTTATTGTATGCTTATTTCATGACTTTACTTGGAGGGGCACTTTATCATTAAATAGTTTGTAACTACTCATGACCCCTGTGTTTAAGTGTAACAGATATGCAAGTCCATTTATGCGTGTTTACATTGAAAAACTATAGAAAAGTGTTCTATCTACATTAAAATGAATAGTGTAAACACAAGAGTTCAAGAGTTGTTTTAAGAAACATATTTTAATACATGTGGCAGGAGGTTTGTTAGTGTTGAACATACTTGAGTGTGTCCAGTCTGTAGCTTGGACTATCGAGCATCTCAGCTAATGATTCTCCAGGGTGATTGTAGCTCAGATCCAGCTCTCTCAGGTGTGAGGGGTTTAATCTCAGAGCTGAAGCCAGAAAACAACAGCCTACCTCTGTCACCATACAGCCAGATAATCTACAAACACACACACACACACACACCCAAAAGTCTACAAACATGCTTGGGTCTAATGGCGGATTATTTAGAATATCAGGGGCGAGTGAACCTATAGCTGTTTTTCTTACCTTAGTATCTCAAGTTGACAATGTGAACTCTTCAGTACATCAGAGAGCAGCTTCACTCCTGAATCCTGCAGGTCATTATTACTGAGGTCCAGCTCTCTCATTGAGTTTGAAGATTGTAGAAATGAAGACAAACTTTCACAGCACTGACCACTGAGCTGACAGCTTGTCAATCTAAATAGATCATCAGGCATGTGTGTCCATGTAAACGTACTCATTGACAAAATTGATAGAAACAGAAAATAAAATATAAATAAAATATGTAATCTTAGTTGTGAAACAAAGCATGATCGAACACACACACACACACACACACACACACACACACACACACACACACACACACACACACACACACACAAATATATATATATATAGCTGAATATGCTATTATGCTATTATGTTATACTTAATAGCAGAATAATGAGAAAGAGATTTTTTTGAGAAATTGTTATAACTTTTCTTGAAAGTCAAGTTTACATACAATAAGATTATTCCAACCCAGGCTCATCGTGGAAACGTAGTCCCGCGGACGTCTCTGGAGACCGCGGAATACGTCCCGGCGGGTACGTACGGCTGCAGTTTTTGTTTTCGCGAATCCGCGAGAGGCCACTGTTGCGCGCTTTTTCGCTCCTCAGACGCCTTCGAGCCCGCGCTGTTCTCGCGTCAACTCGCCGGAGGCCTCTGTCTGACTGACCGGATGATTGACTGCGCGACCGGCCAATCGGCCGACTCGCCCTCCTCCTTCCCCGAACCCAACCAATTTTACCGATCGACCTGCCCGCCCACTCGCTTCCCTAAACCCGAGCAACAATTCACAAAAGCCGTCCAAAAAAAATAAAAGCCCTGATTTTTTTTTTATTCCACCGCGTTTTTGGATTTCGCCACATTCTCACCCTGTCACGAAACTCGTTCACTTAATTTTTGGGATTCTGTTTTCGTCTTACCTGATTGCTGGAACTGCTCTTCCCCGGACTCGAAACCGGTCACCGTGGTCGACCCCTCTCCGCATCTCAATGTCTGCCGAGGTACACGCTGAGCTGAGTGGACAAACGGATTGCAGCGGGGAAGCCCTCCGCAAGGAGGTAAGGCAAGCGCGAAAGGGAACAGCGTCACACCGCCCTGCAGCGTTCGCTTGAAAAAAAAAGACGGGACTACGTTTTCAGAATGAGCTTGGGTTGGATTATTCTGCCTCTGAAAAAGTTCAGATGATGATGTCAAGGTTTTGAAAGTTTATGATTGGCTAATTGACAATATTTGAGTTAATTGGAGGCACAACTGTAGAATAGTATTTAAGGAAAACCTCAAACACACTGCTTCCTTGTGTGACAACATGAGAAAATCAGCAAGCCAGATCCAACAAAAAAAGCCAGATTACAACTTGCTAAATTACACTGGAAAAAGAATAATTGTTTGGGACATGTCCTGTGGTCTGATGGAACTAAGATTGAACTGTTTGGCCATAATGACCAGTGTTACATTTGGAGGACAAAGGGGAAAGCTACAAGCCTAGGAACACCATCCCAACTGTGAAGTATATGGGCAGCAGCATCATGTTGTGGGGCTGCTTTGCTGCAGGAGGGACTGGTCCACTTCACAGTAAAGATGGCATCATGAAGAAAGAACATTATGTAGAAATACTGAAGCAACATCTCAAGACATCAGCCAGGAAATTAAAACTTGGCCACAAATGGGTCTTCCAAACAAACCATGACCCTAAGCTTACTGCCAAATTAGTCAAAATGTGCTTTAAGGCCAACAGAGTGAAAGTTTTGGAGTGGCCATCACAAAGCCCTGATCTCAATCCTATAGAAAATGTGTGGGCAGAGTTGAAAAAGCTTGTGCGAGCAAGACAGCCAACAAATCTGACTCAGTTACACCAATTCTTTCAGGAGGAATGTGCTAACTATTGTGATAGGCTTGTGGAAGAATACCCAAAACATTTGACCAAAGTTATAGAGTTTAAAGCAAAGTTAAAAAATACCAAGGAAATGTATGAAAACTTTTCACTAAAAAAATTAAGAAAAATTGTCTAAAAACAAAAAAACAAACAAAAAAAATCTCATTATTTTAGTATTCAGCAAATGTAAATCATTTTGGTAATCCTAACTGACCTAAAAGAGTAAACATTTACTATGATTTACTATAAGACCTTTTTTTTAATGATTATGTTCCTTTTTTAGAGTGTATGTAGACTTCTGTTTTCAACTGTATTTTCTAATCGATGACTACCTTACACTAAAACTATTCAACTTGTAAAAAAAAACCCACAAACCTGAGTTTTTCCAGTTGACAGTGTGAGCTCTTCAGTCCATCAGAGAGCAGCTTCACTCCTGAATCCTGCAGGTCATTGTTACTCAGATCCAGCTCTCTTAGAGAGTTTGATGATTGAAGAGATGAAAATAAACTTTCACAGCACTGAGCAGTGAGATTACAACCAGCAAATCTATAACACAGGATGAAAAATAGTTCAATAAAAAGCTTTAAAAACGTAAACCGGTGTTTTCTCCTTAAGATGTATTGTACATGATTAAGAATAGACACAAATCCTGCGACAATCATGTAAACTAATACTCACACAGCTTTTCTGCAGTTCACCACAGCTGGTATCAGTCTTCTTTTCCCGCCATCTGATGTGTTGTATTTCTTCAGATCAAACTCATCCAGCACCTCTTCTGATATCAGAAGCATGTAGGCGATTGCTGAACAGTAAGACAGAGAGAGTTTCTCCTCTGAGCAAGTTTGTGATTTCACAAAGTCCTGAATCTCTCTGTACAGAGTCTGATCCTTTATTTCCAGCAGACAGAGGAACAGATTGATGCATCTGCCAGCTGAGCGATCTTTATTAGTTTTGAGTTTATCTTTAATGTACTGTGTGATTCTCTTGATGCTCTCTGAACTCTTCTCTGTGTATGTCAATAGATCCTTTAAGAGTCTCTGATTGGACTCCAGAAAGACGCCGAGTAGAAACCGCAAGAAAAGATCCAGATGTCCATTTCTACTTCTTAAGGACTTTTTAACTGTTGATTTTAGTAGATCATATAAAGAGATTTCATGACTCTGCAGGTCATATACGTTAGACAGAAACAACTTCAGTGACGTTCTTTTCTTGACTGCATAAGAGTAAAACAGAAATAGAGCAGCGAGAAATTCTTGAAAGCTCAAATGAATGAAGCTGTAGACTTTCCTCTGATGAATCACAGATTCCTCCTTAAAGATCTCAGTGCAAATCCCAGAATACACTGAGGCATCAGTGATGTCAATGCCGCTCTCAATCAGGTCCTCTTCATAGAACATCACATTGCCCTTCATCAGCTGTTTGAAAGCCAGTTCAGCAAGTTTCACAATCATGTCTTTGCTGGACTTGAGGAGTTTCTCTGGATCTCTCTTTTCATACTTCAGGTTCCTCATGTTGATCTGAGTCAGCAGGAAGTGGATGTACATTTCAGTCAGAGTTTGAGGGATTTCTGCTCTGTCATCTTTATTCAGGAGCTTCTGAAGCACAGTGGCTGAGATCCAGCAGAAGACGGGTATGTGACACATGATCTGGAGGCTTCTGGATCTTCTGATGTGGGAGATGATTCTTCTGGCTTGACCCACATCACTGATTCTCTTCCTGAAATATTCCTCCTTCTGAGAATCATTGAATCCCTGAATTTCTGTCAGACGGTTGATGTATTTTGAAGGGATCTGATTGGCTGCTGCTGGTCTGGAGGTGATCCAGATGTGAGCAGAGGGAAGCAGATCTCCTCTGATGAGGTTTGACATCAACACAGCCACTGATGAAGACTCATTCACATCACTAACTTTCCGTCTGTCTGAAAACTTCAGTGGGATTCTGCTTTCATCCAGACCATCAAAGATGAACACGACTTTACACTCCTCATACATCTCTGAGTCCAGATCTTGAAGTTTAGGATGAAAGTCCAGCAGAAGTGTGTGAAGACTGTACTGATGATCTTTAATCAAGTTCAGCTCTCGAAATGGAAGCACAAACATGAAATCTACATCCTGACTGGCTTTTCCTTCACTCCAGTCTAGAATAAACTTCTGCACAGAGACGGTTTTTCCAATTCCAGCGATGCCTTTAGTGAGAACAGTCTTGATCTGGTCTTTCCTCTCTTTTACAAACCTCTCATTCGTTGGTTTATGTAAAGGTTTAAAGATGGAATTGCAGTGAATTGGAATGTCTTGTGTCTTGATTGGAGTGTATTGTGTCTTGATTAGCACACCTTTCATTCTGGCCATTTTCTCTATTTTCTCCATCAGTAAAATCTCATGTTCTTCCTTCACTCCTTTGCTTTCTCCCTCTATAATGTAGAGCTGTGTGTAAATCCTGTTGAGGAGGGTTTGATTCCCATCTAGTTTGATTCCCTCAAATAACCTCTCATACCTGTTCTTCATGCTGGTCTTGTGTTGGTTTATGATTCTCTGAAGGGTCTCTGTTTTGTTTTGCTTGATAAAAGTCTCCTGGTAAGTCAGGTGTGGCACCCCAGCTCTGGACACATTGTCTTTTCTTACTCTGCAGAAACGGTAAGATAAACAGAAATACTGTTAACAAAATATATGTAATGATAAAGGGGGCTGTACAGATCCATCAAAAATGTGTTTTTCTGGGTCCTTTAATATTATTTTTGAGAT